ATCTTCACAAGGTCTTTAGCTTCTGTTCTGGGGTTGATTCGCACATTTCAACCAGAACACTTCATCTCTGGACACAGAACCGTCTCCTTCCTGAGCCTATGATGGCTGGACATTCCCATGGTGGTTCTACTGATAGAACTGTTTGAACAGATGAACGTGGAACCTTCAGGCTTCTGGAAGTTGTACCCAAGGATGAACCAGGAGGTCCACAGTTCTCTTCCTGATATCTTGGCTGATTTATTTTGATGTTCCATGTTGTCACAAAAGGAAGCAGCATGTTTGAGGTGTGCCTTAAAATACATCCACAGGTGCCTCCAATTAACTCAAATGTTGCTGATGAGTGAGTAATAACACGACAGGGTCAAAAACACCCAAAAGCTGTCCAGGAAAGGGTTAATTGTGAAACAAATTAGATTTTCTGTATTAGTTCGATGATCATCTCTTGATCATCTCCCCTAACTGATGCCATGTCCACTTCTTTTATTTAAGTCTATTTAAACTCTTGTCAAATGAAGGCGGAAACATTTCCTCGGTTCTACATGATGTGGCCTCATGAATAAGACTCACAGAGGATGACAATCATCAGTCTCATTCAGTCTGGTGCGCCGTATACAAATATTGTGAATAATAACGGTCTCTGACTGGATGGTCAGTAAAAGTCACAGCTCAGGGCTACAGCATCAGCAGTGTTGTGAAGCAAAACACACACAAACACTCCATTAAGAATCCCAGAATCCCATAACACCTGGAAAAACCACTGACCTGTGTGTGTGTGTGTGTGTTTCAGGAGTTGTGAGGCAGCATGCGGGCCTGCTGTGCCCTCAGCGCTCACCTCTGTTTTTACTGTAATCAGTGGGAAACATTATGATACCATCTAACAGCGGCCTCAGCAAAACACCCAGCTCCCCACATCCCTCGCTCCCAAATCAAGAAGTCGTTTTAGAAAGCAGTTAAAGAGCCGATGAGCCTGTAATAGCAAAGGTAAACCGCAGTAATCAGTTACACGGCGGTGGCGACGATCCCACAATGTCAACAACGTGGTGTTTGTGGACTCATCAGACTCATCCCGCGCAGAAAGTGAGCAGATGCAAATGTGCCGCTCGCATCGATTTCAGGGCTCCGTGTGCACGTTATAGCATTTGGACAGCCAACGACCAACAGCGCGATAGTGATCTTCAAACACTTGACGACACTGCCTCATTGTTCACACAGCCCCGTCCACTGTTTACCCAACAAGTCTCCAGCTCCAGACCCCGGAGTGGTGACGGTCCGGTGTCACTTATAACAGACCTGGGCGCAGTTACAAGTGCTCAGACAAGTGCTCACACGCTGGAAACAAAAAAAAAAAAAGCCGGGAAGGATTTGCATCTTATTTCCATCCCCGGTTAGATGCCTGGAGTGAGTCAGGTGGGACGGCAGAGGAAGCCAACTGACTTCTAGGACGAGGGAGGGATGTTGAGATAAAAAGGGGTCTGATGGAGGGCAGGAGGGTGAACAAGCAAACAGCAAACAAGAAGCATCTCGGAGAGTTTGGGTCGTTGGAAACTGTTGGTGTGATATTCATTTCTCTTTCTGTTTGTGTCTCAGTCATATGAGATCATCCCTGTTGCCTCCGGCTGTTGAACACCAGTAACTGCAAGAACCTGGACCCGGGCCAGACCTCACCACTGCTGCTCCGAAGACTTTAATTAAAGACAGATAAAAGAAAAAGTTCTGAGTTGTAATTTTTATTTTTTTTTCTTCTCACTTTGGCGTCATTTCTCTTCTGGGGTGTTTTTTTTAAATTATTATTATTTTCCCCTCCTGTTTTTGCACAATTAAAACAGTTTAATCATATAATACTTCTCCAGATTAGATTCCGTGAAATATTTCACAATTAAAGACAAAAGAGAGAATAAATAAACAATAAAACTAAGCAGCAGCAGCAAGTCTAAGCAGGTGGATTGGCCACACCTTCCAGACCGGGGAGGAGAAGATCCAATAAGCCCCGATTAGAGACCCGTAAGTCTTCAATAACGGCCGCTGAGTCATGATTAGCTGTGCAGAACTCTCAGAGATACCGTAAATGTCTTATATTTGATTTGAATTTCTGGAAATAGCAAAGACTGAACACCTGCACGAGACAGTTTTGAAAATTTTGCGGCAGTCCAGAAATGGAAAAACCAGGAACAAATCAAACATCTCTGTTTATTAGGAATAAATTAAAGGATGTCGTCAGTGTTCAGGCAACCAAATAGACAATTTAAGAGGTCAAAGGATGTGTAACTGAGAATCATGTGCAGACAGCCTACAAACAAACTAAAGGTGAAGTTCGGACATTTTCAGTTGATTTTAATCCCTATATGTACGTTGGAGTTTTGCTTCTTTTACTTATAAATGAGGTTTCTTAGCACTTCTTTCCAGATCCATTGCGTCATCCACTTCCCAGGAGTAACGCTGCAGGCCCTTTCTCCTCGGGTTTGATGTCGTGCTTTGATGCCTCCCTTCGCTCTGTTTTCCCTGCGATATGCTCTGTCGACTCAGCATCCACCGTCAGCAGCCCATTCCCAGCCTCCCCTCTGTCTCGCTGTATTGTCCCGTGTCCTCAGTGCAAACACAAACATGCTCCAGGAGAAGCAGGTGTCCTCACCACCGGGATAAACAAACAGCCAACCAGGATCCAGGAGCAGAGAGGCTGTTTCTGCCTGTTGTGTTTGTCTGGGATGTCGGGAGGGGGATGGGGTGGGATGGGATGGGATGGGTGGGGTGGGTGGAGGGGATACTGGGAGTTTCTATGCCAGTGTTTGTATGCGAGCAGAAACTTTGAATATAGCTGATAGCATCTCTTAAGCCCCCCCACTGTGTCTCCAACTAAGCTGTTTGTTTTCACCCACTGTTCTGTTTGAAGTCTGTTTTATCGTCAGCTCACAGCTAATTGCGTGACCATTATGCAATTATGCAATGCAAATGTGGAACGTCAGAGCTGCCCAACGTAAATCTTACCTGGTTCCTGATTACATGTCAGATTCCAGCGCTTCTGTTTCAAGCTGCAGGATGCCGTCCATTGTTAACTGTTCACCCCCTCCCTCCCCACACGCCCCTGTCTTCAGTTTTAGGCTAATTTAGCATTTCATTTGCACGCTCGTCCTGGTTCTGGGGCTTTCGGGGGCTCATTTGCCTGATTCTCACCTGCAGCCGTGCAGGTTGATGGTAATCTGTCCTCCAGGAGAACACAAACAACTTTCTGTGTCATTATCCGCTAACGGTGACAAAGGTGGGACGATTTCATGTGAAATGTTTACCTGCAGTTAAACAGGAGGAGAGAAAAAAAACTGGCCCCCAGACATGACGGAGAATAAGAAGGTCCTGTTGTGTAGGAAGAAGAAGTCGGAGTCTGAAGTTTCTTTCTGGAGATGAAGTGAAGAACAAAAGTCGACACGACCATTTGGACATTATCTATTTTAAAACTTAGCTTTAATTTGTAAATCTTTAAGCTCATAGAAACTCCACATCTTTGACCTTTCAGTAAAAACAAACATTATTTTGCATAAGTTTATTTTGCCTACAAAGTCCACACAACACATCTTCAGTATGAATAATCCTGTTAGAATGTCATCATAGGGCCTAAATCATTACAGCAGCTTCTAAAAGACAACAAAAAACATCCTTATAATATTTAAGTGGGTGCAATAAATTATGTTTAAAATCATGATGAAACTGTGAAAATGTCAAAAATCCTATTAGATGGACAAAACCAGTGAGAGAGCCATTGCTAAAACAGCTAAAAAATAAAAATGGCTCCATCAAGAACCGCAAAGAAAACTGTGGTCACGCTGGTCTAATAGTTATTTACAAATCTGTATCGATAAAGGCAAGAACAATACAAGAAAAGCACCAGAGCCACAGAGTCAGGGGTCACCACAGCAGACAGAACTGGGTCATTGAGAGTCTTAACTAAATGACCAGAGGAACATGTGCCAAGTGTTGGTGAGAAGTCCCCATGCTGGTGGGACAAACCAGTCAAAGTGGTGCAGAAGAGCAGAATCCCGTCCCAGACTGACGAGTGGCTGCTGGCGAACTAACCAGACACAAAGGTGGCCGACGACGAGGGGAAGAACATCAACTGAAGTGAAGAATGACAACCATCTGTGGCCTCGTGTTAACTCACGTTTAAATGTTTGCAAGGAGTTCCACACGGTGATGGTTTCCCTCTTAAACGTATTTATGTCCACACCTGAATTAAATGCATGATTGCAAGATAATGAAACCTCTAATTTGCTGATTTAGATCAACCATGTAGGGTGCAGAGATGATTTTTGATGAGTTAATGTGATAATGATGATGATGATGATGGTAATTGCATCGACTTATTATTGTGTCATTTAAACTCAACTGTCTGTTTTAATTCAAATTCAGGTAATGAAATGTCATCAGAGGTTGTCAAGAGTCATTATTTTATAACCAGAGATACTGAACCATCCCTTCAATACATGGTAAAGCTTTTTTTACACCAGTTTTTTTTTCTTTTTTTAACCCTTAACTCATCAGTAACCCTGCTTGTTTCTAATCAACCAACTATTTCCAATAGCTTATCAGCCCAACATGATAAAATCACAGCTGTTCAACCCTGTTCTTCCACTGCTCCAGCCTCAGTCCCCTCCGCAGCTCCAGGTAGGCCAGCGCGCTCAACCAATCACAGCCTCGGAGCGGGTAATTGACGGTAAAGCCCCGCCCCCCACGTCCACCTGTAATCCAATCCGCGGCCTTGTCACAGGTAAAACTAGCCTCAATTTCTCAGCATTGCCCCAAAAAAGCGAGAAAAGCCGACAAAACCCGTTCTCTCAGTGCGGGACAGCTTGTTTGTTGCCCTCATCCAGTGTTGGCGGCGCAGTTTTCCACAGCAGAAGAAGACGGATCGGATTTTCAGTACCAACTAGAAAGTCCAGTTCGACCGACCGAGATGTCACAGGAGCATGACAAGTAAGTTGTCCTGACTCTCCACTTTTTTAGCCTGCACCGGGAGCACGTTGGCGCTTTTTAAAAACTCATTCTAACACTTTCCAGGATTTTTCCACACATTGTTCCGCCACCTCTGCTCATGGATTTAGCTTTTAAAAGCCGCCTCACACAGACCTGCAGCTGCTGCCTGATGCTTTACAAACTGACTCTTGCATTAATATTTTAGGATTATTATTATAGCTGATCTATTTTTATTTTTTTCCTCCCTCTCTCTCTTTTTTTTATTGGGTAAGTTTGCTGAGAAGCAGTTGGGCGATAATTTCCCATGGTGCGTAACTGGCTGATTTCAGCTGTCATGTTCAAGCCTGTACAGGTGTATCTCCACCTGTTCGTGCGAGCCGAGACGCCTGTTAGAATAAAACGCCGTCCCGTGATACAGATGGGGCGGTTTAGTGTTTGGCTTTTTGCTTTAAGCTCCAACAGTTATGTGGATAGTCTTAATGGTGTTTGTTCAGGAATAAACATCAGCAGGTAGAAGAAAAAAAAACAGTGTGCAGGTGGTTTGAGGAGCAGCTCCAGTGGAATTCTAAGAAAAGAAAAAAACAGATCAGTATTCTTTCTTCATGCTGTCCTATGGGAGATGGTATTACTCTATATTCTGTATTTTTTTTTTTTTTTTTTTGAGGGCAATGACAAGGAGACTGTATGAGTGGAGTGAAACTGTACACCTGCTAGGCGTTGGCTCGACTACTAACACAAACAATGTAAGCAACCAGCAGGCTATCTGAGGTTTGAGTGGATTTAATGTTTTCTCAAATTCGGTGGCTCAGAAATAAAAGACAAAACTCCTCTTAAATGTATTTTTTGTTGATTTTTTGGAGGTTTTTGTTTCTTCGTTTACATTAAAAGCGACACAACTCTGCTTCCCTGACTTTATTTTCTCAAATCTAATCGTAATTTCTACCTGAAAAACAACCAAACTCTCCTTTTTTTATGTGTGTGTTTGTTTTAGTTACAGACTGGAGTTTTATTGCTGCTAAATAATGGATGTTATCAGGTTGCGGTTTTATGAATAGCACAATTAGAGCTAGGATTACTAATTATCACTTTGCACTGACCATTGAGAGACAAAAAGAAAAAGCTGCGTTTGTTGTAGATACTCGACATGGAAACTGAGCCAGTCTGTTCACACTTTCTAGTGATTGCTTTGTGCAGGAAGGATGTGTTGTAGAGGTGTGTGGTTTCCAAAGTCTGGCAAAGAAATGATCTGAGCGCGGGCTCGGTTCAAGACATCAGGATTAACTGAGCAAACAGAGGCCGTGCAAACATTTAAATTTACTGTAAACGGGCAACTTGAGTGCACTTCACACATGTAGAAGCCTCCTGTGCTGCTGTGTTTTTATTAAATCAGTTAACCCACATAGGCTCAAGAGCTTAAAGCGACATCAGAAGGAGCTGATGGAGGCGTGTTCGTCCGACTCGGCCCGGTTCACAGAGCGATGACTCTGAAGGCCTCGCAAGACTGAGGAGGAAGAGAAAAGATGAAGGCGTTGACCGCGCATCAGAACTCGTGATTGTTTTCCATCAACAGGTTCTCGCCTAAATAACAGCAGCAGCAGCACAGTTAGCACGCAGGAATGCAGCAGGTTCAGGTGCGTCACCTGCGGTCGGCCTCTCCACCAATGAGAGATCCCCGAACCAGAGTCGCCTCACTGGACGAGCCTGTAGAGCGTCTTTTCCTGAAGACGCCTGTGTGGTTCGATGGCTGAGATTTGTTGCACAACGGTTGAAAAGCCTGAACAACTGGTCCGGCTGATGAAGAGCATCTGCGCGGTTGATCTGTGGCTCTTCTAACCTGTTTGTCTGTTTTGACCGAGGCACTGATTTTTCTTTGAGGTTTCGTGAACTCACATGGAGTCAGTTAAAGTTTAAAGTGAAGCACTGACATCTTATCAATTGATCTGTCTGTGGTAACTGAAGCCAACACTCCCCTGTTTGCAGTAAGCGTGCGGTCCTGGTTCTCCAGAACGAGCAGGGCTATGGCGGCGGCCAGCGTCGCTCCTTCACCACAGAGGACGAAGCCTGGAAAACGTTCCTGGAGAATCCGCTGACGGCCGCCACCAAAGCCATGATGAGCATAAACGGAGACGAGGACAGCGCCGCGGCTCTGGGCCTGCTCTACGACTACTATAAGGTATCTGAAAACCCCTCACACCGGTGGATTCTCCCAAACTGTACCTGCTGTGTACGATCCACATTGGTGCTGACAGCCAGCCATTACGCAACACCTGTGAGGCAGCAGAGCCTTATGTCATGTAACTGATCCAGCGGCCCATTTAGACAGCGGGATGACCCGAGTTGTTGGATGTGATGTGGTCAGACGCTGAGCGGCTGTGTTTACCCTCGCATACAGGTGCCCAGGGACAAGAGAACAATAACGCAGCCCAAGACCGACGCTATGGTCTCTGATGTGGATCCCAACAAAAGGTGAGCGCCAATCCTCTCCTAATGCAAACCCCCCCCTTTAAAAATAAAAGCGCAGCAGAGGGCGACTGCATGAAAAGAATGGGGAAGATTCAAGCTCATTTTCTGAATTTTAAATTAGAGCTGCACACACCTTTGGCCTCAGGGGCTCCCGCCTTATTCAAAATGTCAAGCTACGTATTGTCAAACGGAAGCTTAGCATCTAAGCCACTAGATGTAAAGGTTAGGCTAAAATGCAGGGTTACGAGCTTCCACTGGTTGAATTTAATTGGAAAACTTCAATTACATCATGATTACAATTCTAGTCAGACAGTTGCAAAAGAAAATTACACATAAAGAAGCTGAACTGTGCTATAAAAGACACCAAATAAGGCATAAAAATCTCAAAGAATGTAACTTCAGAGCTGTTTAAATGGTGCATAGTTCATGAATTAAAGTGCACATCGTTCATGAAGCCAACTCTCAGACAATCTTTTAACCCGGTGCTACGTATGTGTTGTGTTTCTTTGCTGCAGGCACCAAATCCAGACCGGACACCCCTTAGTCCCCCTCCAGGAAGGCGGGATGGAGAACCGGATCCAGGTCCTCAAGGCGCCCTTCAACATTCTTCAGCTGGCCCAGGACAAGAGGGGCCACTTTGCCTCGCCAGGTTTGTCCGCATTCGGCAACACGAACGCACAAAATCAGTTTTCGACACAGAAAACCTTATTGTCAGTTGTTCATTCAGACACGACTGTCACAGTTTCCATTGCCGCTGTGCCAAACTACCCGCCAGTCAAGACCGAGGTGCCGACCCACGGCTTCTCGGTGACCGTGCCGAACAACTGCGCCGAAACCAACAGCCACGTGGGCGTCTTCGACCGCCAGCAGCTCTCCCACAGCGCAGTCCAGTTCAGCCCCAGCACCCAGTCCCGCACGCCCCCCGACTCCACCTTCACCGAGACTTTCAAGGATGGTTCCCAGGAGGTGAGTGTTTCGGTCCCCCTCTTTCTTTCTAAAAAAAAAAAGAAACCCTGCTAATGCCCCTCCTTCCTCCGCTTCGCTTTCCTCTCCTCTCCTCTCTCAGATCTCTCCCATCAGACAATAGGATATTCACCTGATCCCATGGAGCCAGCGGTGGGCTCAGCCTTCCCTGGTTTTATTTGAACATGCCAAAATAGTGGCCAGTGTGTTATTATGCCATTGTCTCACCAACACAATAAAGTGCTGTACTTTTCTCCTACAATAGCCAAAGCCTTTTCTCTCTCCTCTTTCTCTTCTTTAACCTGGAGGGGAATTACCTCAGAAAAGAGTAACCCAACAAAACCCCTGTACAGGAGGGGTGAGGGGCAGCGACGGAGCCGTGTTCAACAAAACCAGGGACGGAAGAGAAAACGGATTATCAAAAAAACACCTACGAGAAAGCTACAGGGAACTAGATTAAACTGCTAATCGCTCATCTGTTATAACGGATCGTATAAAATCAGAGCACTTTTACATCCTCCTGTGCCGGTGCTTTATTCACACGCTGTCTCCGTCTGTTTCCTTTGTGCGCTGCAGGTGTTTTCCTTCCCGGGAGATCTCCAGTTACGTATGACCTCCATGACGCCCGAGGACTACACTCAGTTTGACACCATGCCGGGGTAAGTCGTGCTGCCGCCGGCCCACCGTCCGGCTTCCACCGCCTTTCAGCTTTTGACACAACACGGCAGAAAGGCTTCATTCATCCCAGTCACAGGGGAGACACCGGACTCCCCGTCCATGTGAAAGACAAGAGGCCGCGCACACGGGCGCTACCTGGCCCGGCCCGGACTACGCGCTGACGGGCGCTACCTGGCCCGGCCCGGACTACGCGCTGGTTTTGGGATTTAGCTGCCGAGCGAAACCCAAAGTTGAATTGATTTCATTGCAGAAATGCAGGGTTTTTCTTTTGATACTGATGTGATTCTATTTCTCTGTGCTTTAGGAATAACTTTGAGTACACTCTCGAGGCGTCCAAGTCGCTGCGTCAGAAGACTGGCGACGGGACGATGACGTACCTCAACAAGGGCCAGTTCTACCCGATCACCCTCAGGGAGGTCGACAACAAAGGCATGCAGCAGCCCATCACTAAAGTCAGGGTAAGAACGCAGGATTATTGACGGTAATCTGATGCTAAATCTTTATTTTTGCAGCATTTTAAGCCGTCTTTGTGTCTGTTTCCACCGTCAGAGCGTGGTGATGGTGGTGTTCGGGGAGGAGAAGTGCCGAGACGACCAGCTGAAGCACTGGAAGTACTGGCACTCCAGACAGCACACGGCCAAGCAGAGGTGTCTCGACATCGGTAAGATCCGAAACAGAAGTTTTTTTTAAAATAAGAAAGCAGGCAGAAGGTCCTGAAACTTTCCCAGTGTGAGAACTGAGACGTCAGAGAGTTCAGTGTAAACAGTGACGTGACAGATTAACCCTCATGTGGTTGAAAAGGCAACTTAGCAGGAAAAAGGGCGTGCTGACGATTATGATGCCTCACTTTTTAGAAGTATTTGGCAACTTACCAAAATAGATTTAGTTTGTCTGATTTCTTTGTCGTTTATTTATTTGGATGCTCTTGATTGGCTGATTTTGTTTCAGACTGAACTTTATGCAGTTAAAATGCTGCTTCCTGTCCAGTTTCTGTTTTTTCACTCCTGTCACATTTTTTGCTCATCGAAGGTTCCTTTTTTTTTTTACAACAATAAAAAGTCCTACACCTCTGTGGAAACAGCAGATCATGGCCTGAAGTAGAGAAAACTCAGAAATATCTTCAGTGCAGAATAAGTTAGAATGCCATAAATCTTCAAAATAAAAGGGTTGAATTTCTTTTAATTGCTTATTTTACTTTTAAACAAAAAACAAAAACCTGGACTCAACATGTACAACATTTTTCTAGCTGCCCATAAGTGTTCTTAATTCTGGAAAAATTAGTGGTGATTCTACGTACTATAGATATTTTACTTCTTATATTTTTGATTTCTTTCCATATTTATTTCCTGTCTGCTCTGCAGTTGAGCCCATTTCAGCCAAAAGTCTCTGAATTTTTGTCACTTGACTGTTGGTTACCGCTGAGTCATTAACGGCTTTTCAGTTGTGCCCATGAATGTAGAATTTTAATTTTTTTACAGAATCTTTTTAGAGCAAATGGTTTATTTTTGGCAAATTTTAAAACGAGACACGTAGAATAAATGGATTTTGATGCAACATCAAGATTTTCAGTTCCAGGATTGTCAGAAAGCTGAACATCTGAGGACTGTTTTTGGTTTTACAGTTTCAATAAATGGATAATTTAACTGTCGAGGATTAACTGATCAATAAACTGCTGTTCTTTGCTCCAGCTGACTACAAGGAGAGCTTCAACACCATCGGCAACATCGAGGAGATTTCCTACAACGCCATTTCCTTCACCTGGGACACCAACGAGGAAGCCAAGGTAGGACGAACATTAATGCTTCCACACATACAGCCGGCTGACATTCTCCTCAGTCTTCAGTTATTATTTCAACAGACCTCATGTGTGAAGGCGGCTGTTTGCCCTCCAGTGTTCATGTAAAAACAAGTCCGACGTTTGGTTCACAGGGTCACCACTGATCCACGTTTCCATGAACTTCCTTGTCTTGAACTCTTAATGTGAGCTTTGAACTTTTAACACAGAGACACTTAAAGCTTTAATCCGAAAATAGACTCGTGTTCTTTTAACGTGGTTTCTCACCACAGACCAGAATCAGAGTTTTCTTTGTCGGAGATCATCAGCCCCTTTGTTCGCTGTGATCCTTTAAAACAGTGGTTAAATAAAAGGATGCTGTCGTGTCGCGCCCCCTCGTCCTACGTGTTGACTCAGGTTGCGTAGAAACGAGGAGGTGTGAGTCTTCCTGCTCTGCTCACGAGTTTTCTGACTCGTCCAACCTGCCCGTCACCCCTATTGTGATGCTGCGTGTCGAGGTATGTCGGCACCAGGCAGCGGCAACAAAGAGCGCAGGAATGAGGAAACTCCGCAGGGGAGGAGGACGGGGACCGGGTCGGACAGTTGGCAAATAAAATCCAGTTTAACGGGTGGAAAAGGTGACAGAAAGGAGGAGTTTCCGACCTCTGCTCCTCTCTTCTTTGTTGTCAACCGTCCCGCCGCCCTCCGGCAGCGTAACCGCTGCCCGACCGGCAGCGTTTGCATAAACAGAGACGACATCATCTCCTGCACTTGGCGGCTCTTCTCTGTAGGCTACGCTTTGCATAAATAAACTAACATGCACAGGCGTCCTCTGCACACACACAGCAGGATGTGGGTCTAACTGTCTCATGACTGGAGGCCTGTGTCCATAGGATGTTCATCCTTGTGTGTGAGCACCACACCGTGCTGTTTGAGCATCTCATCCGCCAGGCGTTGGGTTACAGATGAAGATGTGTGAGTGTGTGCTTAGATGTTTGACTTCTGACTTCAGGAGTTCAGGACATCTGTCTGTGGTCGATCCTCGCTTGGTTGTAGGTTTAAGGTTGAAATTAGGGGTTCAGTGAGTTAAGATGATAAACACTCCTGGTGTGGTTTAGCAGCAGCGTGTTTGTATCTGTGACGGGAAGCTGCTGCCTTTTATTTCTGTGCTTCGGGGCAAATTAGTTGAATTGTCAAAAAACATTTTTGGGTAGAAATAATTTCTTTTCTGCTCTGTCTTAAGTTAAACTCTTCTTTCCTCTTATGTGTGGTCTCATTTTATCAGACAATAAAGTGACTACAAGCCCCAAATACAGAAAAATGACACAGATTCTTTTAAACAGTTCACTTTTTTCGCAAAAACTTCACTCCAAATATTTTCCAGAACACTTAAAAAAAATCTTGTTTTACCATTTACACCAGTGGTCGACTCATTATTGGATCTGATATTCAGGTTTTGTCCTGATTATTGATATCATTCTTTAAAAAAATAATAAAAATTCCTGTAAAATAAGACATTTTGTAAATGTAATAGCCGACCTAAAAGTTCTGATTTTATTGTAAGTGTAAAACTTAAATTAAAAAAATAAAATAAAATTGCAGCAAAGTTTTACGTTAGAGTTGATTTTGATGCAGAGATTTTCATTTTTCATGCAAATGTTTGTCAGTTGCAAATATCAGTCTTCTATTTCCTTGAGTCCAAAACAAATGCACACAAATTAAATGAATAAATAAAAACATAAGGGTCCTAATTTGGACACAGACAGACAGCAGACACAAATAAAACTTTAATATTTTCATGTTGGGTGTGAACTAATTTTATCATAACTCATTTTTCTGCCCTTCTAATTGTGGCGATCAGTTTAAAATCTTCTTTTTAAGCCTTGTTTTAATTCTCTGTAGACATAAATGAGATTAAAATGAGATGTATGAAAATCCCACACCAGTTATTTGTCTTGTGGAAATCCACCAATGAAGACCAGCGGGGTTAATAACCTCATTAAATGTTCCTTCTGTTGTTTAAATTTATTGTGTTAAAGCAAAGCATGAATGCACAAAGATTTATTTATTTTGTTGCTGAACAAAGTGAATATCGGTGGCATCTGCTGATTTTTATCTCTCGGATCCTTTCTGGGTGTTTTGTTGACACAATGAGAAACTGCAGGAGGAGACAAAGGAACATGTGATGACTGAAGTCAACCAATAGAGGGCAACACAGAACACTGAATGTATTCAGAGGCCTGAGCTGTGAGGCACCTGCTGCAGGAAGTGTTCAGTGTTGGTGCCACTAAAGCTAAAGTGATCAGAGTGAAAGTTTAATAATGAAGAAGCAGACATTAAATAAATCTAAGTTGTAATTCCACATCTGTTCCCGTCTCTTTCGTCTCCATCCTCCTCCTTTTCTGTCCACAGATCTTCATCTCCGTCAACTGCCTGAGCACCGACTTCTCCTCTCAGAAGGGGGTCAAGGGTCTTCCCCTGAACCTGCAGATCGACACGTACAGCTACAACAACCGCAGCAACAAGCCCATCCACCGCGCCTACTGCCAGATCAAAGTCTTCTGCGACAAGGGGGCGGAGAGGAAGATCCGAGATGAGGAGAGGAAGCAGTCCCGCCGGAAAGGCAAAGTGGCCGAGCTCAGCGCTAACCTCTCCTGTGAGTCTCCTCTGAGGTGTACGATGGGTGGTGGTGGGGCTGAAACCCTGAATGTTCCCCGCAACATGTCGAGATGACAAGTTGTGTTGTGGAAAATATCTGTGTGAATCTTGCCAGCTTCTTCCAGTTGCACCGCTGAATTTTGAGCCCTTGTGTGTGGACGAGGGGGGTTTACGGTTACCAACGTACCGCCAGTTAGCGCCTGATCCTGCAGCTGCTTTAGGCTCTGCAGCGCGTTTTGGCTTCTTTCAGCCCATTGTTTTGGTTTTAGGCCCAACATGACAACTTTTCTATGACAGTTAACTCCCAGCCCTCCAGTCCACCTCATTCCAGGACACAGCAGTTAAAAAATGAAGCTCTGATAAACCAAAAAGGAGCTAATGCAAGACTAAACACTGCACTTACACGTCCCAGATGTGTTTGCTGGATGTTTAAATTAAACTTTATGCTACCATGCTTGCTAGAATAACTCTATAAGTCAGTGTTGGGTTTGCTGCCCTGCCCCAAGACGGCCATAAATATCTGTTAATTCTAGTTTGAAGACTTTGTCCTCCACTTTTTAAAACAAATATTTTCTGCACTTCCTCTCAGTTGTGGACGTGAAGGTGCCGATTCTCCAGAAGCGCAACGACGTGACCATCTTCAAGATGATGACCGACCTGGAGACCCAGCCCGTCCTCTTCATCCCCGACATTCACTTCTCGGCCTTCCAGCGCCACGTGAGTGTCGAATACGGACCCGGTCGCTGTTTATGTCAACCTGCTTTTTGTGCCGTTGGTGAACATGTTTTTGCTGCATTTACGCACCGTTCGCAGCATCTTAGGAGGTCCATAAACAGTTTGTTTTTCTGCCTCCACCCACTCATCTGCCAGCTGGGTCGAGGTGACCTGCCTGCTCGCGAGTTGGCAGGAACAGAGAGTTCTGGTTTGGTGCTTTGATATGAGTCCTACATACTGATGGCAGGGTTTCAGACTGCTTACTCACATGATGAATCATTTACCAGTGATTTAAAATAAACCAGGGGGGTGCAGGACATAGTACCTGCGCAGCCACCTTAATTCACGTGTTCATGTTTGCTCAGGGCAAAGGGAAGAGATGGATTCTGGGAGAGGGGGCAGGAATGCAGCTTTCTTATGGATTTGTGGAGGCAGAAAGGAGATGGTCAGGGATGCGTATCGGGGTGAAAGGAGGACAGATGTGCTGTGCGTGCACGCCGTTTGTCAGGTTTTTATCAGCTTCAAACACCTCCTGTGTGACTGGACTCTGAGCTTTGCTTCTAGAGTGGACTCATCACATGGCCCCTCGGTGTGTGAGCACCTGACCTGAATGCTAGTTAGCACCACTCGTAGCTTTTTGGGGGCAGTTTAGTTTTCTGTGACGTGCACAACGAGTTGCTTTATTCATGGTGAAAATGCCTCCATAGGAGCAGTCCATTGAGAAATTTGCCTGCTTGTGAACGTCGACTGCCCCCTGCTGGCCAAACTGAGAGCAGCCTGAGTGCAGTTGAGGAAAATGTTCCCTTTTTAGCTTTCTGTCTCAGTGAGTTTACTTTGCAAACCAGCGAGGCCGAGAGAGGGAAAGAAGGCTATTTTTGGTGATGCCAATGACACTGAACCTTGCTGACCTCTCCTGCGACTGCGCTATCAGTTTCCGATAAACTCTGAGTTCACTGGCTTCCCTCTTAGAATAGAATCCTATTAATGGGAGTGCAACCAGCACAGCGACGGGGCAAAAGGCTCAAAAAACGTCCCTCCACTTGTTAAGAATTAAAAACAGCATTTTTAATTTATTTTGAGATTTTTTTTAAAGCAAAAACATCCAAAATCCATCGCTTTACAGCGTCATAAATCTGATGATGATGATCTGGTTCTCTCATAGATGATAATAAATAATATAGCTTTTGGTTTTAAAATGTTGCTTCAGCAATTTAAAGATATTGTTTGGAAAAAAATGCACATTTTACTGTGTTTCCAAACATTGTTTTGAGGAAAATTGATTGACAGAGAACAAAAAATTAGCAGAAGGATGTACAACAACGTATTCTGTCTGATCCGACTGTCTTATCCTATAAATAATCCAGAACCTGTGACCCCCTGTGAGGGTCCAGACTTGCCTTAAACATGTTCCTCCAGCTGGACAGGCCTTGCTCTACATATGCAGTATAGATCTGTGTAGCTGAGTAGCAGGTTTGTGTCAACAAGGTTCAGTTTTCAGTGATAAAGGAAGAATAAACGGGTCAGCACAGGAAACCGTTTGGACTTGGCTGTAGACTTTGGCTTTGACCTATTTGACTGATTTAGCCGCCACCATGAAGAGCTACAGCTGCAGGACATGAGTTAAAGATCATTTAAGTTTATTTTCATGTCAGATATAATTAACAAAATACCAGTTTTTAAAAAAAAAAAAGATAAAGATAACTTTATTGATCCCACAGTGGGGAAACTTCACCGTTACAACAGCTCCAAAAAAAAGTGTTTAGTCAGTGCAAGAATAATTGGGAACACTCAGTGCAAACTGTAGGAAAAAGCACCAATAACTGATCTCAAGACAATGTGTAACGGTTGGTTGTTAATGTTTCTGTTCATGTCAGTGAACTTCTGCTCCTCTGTTCCTCTTGCAGCCTTTCTCGGCAGAAGAGGGAGAAGAAAGGTGAGTTCACCCTGATTTCACACTCGCTCTACAGCAGCTTTGAACCGACACAACCTTTGGCACTTTCTCCGTAAAAGGCATGCAGACGTACAGATGCTGTTTCTAGGAAATGCTCGTGGGCTTTGTGTTGTTTTTTGTGTGTGTGTGTGTTTTGTAGCTGGTTGCTAAGACCATTTAAGCAGTGTTTTGTGTGTGTGTGTGTGTGTGTCCACTGCAGCTCGGGCATGAAGAGATTACCCTTCAGCGACGACGAGTTCGGTTCACCTCCGAACAAGATGCCGAGAGCCGAGGAACCAAAGAAAGGTACTACATATATGTGTGTGTGTGTAGTGTGTGTAGTGTGTGTGTGTGTAGTGCTTCGACTGTTCTTATGCTCTTCTCTGAGGCTAAATCAGCGTGTTACAGCCGCGTGCACTTACATGTGTGTTTGCTGTGCTCGCCCTCTGAAGCTCTCCTCCCACACACGCACACACACACACACACACACACACACTCTCTCTCTCCGAGCCATGTGATTATTCCAGGTCTTTCAAAACACACACACACACGTGCCCGAGGCCTCCACTGACCCAACAAAATACCGCTGATCACTCCGTGCATAAATGCATGCAAACAAGCCTGCGCCCTTTTCCCCACATCCCATTCACAGGCAGACAACAGGAGTTTTTTTCTAATAATAAATATGCAAATACTTTTAAAAAAATGTGTTGTAGCTAAAAGGTGAACATTAAAAAGAATTGGGCTTTATCTCAACCGTTTACAACCAGTTTGTGTATCGTTACTAAGCCCGGTTACACCCCGGATATTGAGGCAGGAATATAGTTTTTACATGAACCCCAGAGGAACTAAGAAGTAATGAATGCATCAGCGCTTTTTTATCGATCACGTTCCCCTCTAGAGCCTCTAAGAGTCCATCAACCAACAACCTCAGATGGGAACTGTGGTCACAACCTGCGACAAAAAGTCAGAAATAAATATGACTTTATTTTATCGGTTCACAAGTTTAAAAAAGAAAACGAAACCGCTGTAATACAGAATCATTTCATGTTACTTGCGTCAAGTATTCATGACTGTTTAAAGTCCCCAATAGGCATGGTTGGTATGTGGCCTTAAGTTTCCTTTAAACTTAAACTAAATTCACTCAAAAGTTTTTTTTTCTTTTCTCGAGGCTTGTCGTGTTTTTCCAGTCAGAAAACTGGCAGCTCCGGGATCGTATTGACGTCTCGGTTGCCAATCGCCTGCTGCTCCTAAAAATGACGTCTGTCGCTGTCCTCGGCTGATCCAGACCGCAATTTGCGAAGCACGACAGAAGCCAAACTCCGTCCATACTCTCACTTATCCCACTTCTTTCAGGCCATATACAGAAGTGGCTGAAACCAGTGAAAGCGTCCGTGCGGCACATGTTTGCGTCTTTAAATAGAGACGAGGAGTGTTTAGAGGCCGCGAATGTCACAAGTTCCAGCATCAGGTTGGAAAAAAAACAATACAGCAAAGTCTCTGTGGAGCGCGAGCTATTTTGAGAAGACAGAGTGTCGTGAGGTGGGTCAGCGTTTGTGTGTCTTTACAACCACGCCGCTGTGCTTTCTAGGTGCACTTTGCGCTCAGTGTCTGGATCAAAGCCTGTGCAGTCTGGCAGAGGGACCGTTCGGTTAAAATGGATTGCAGTGTTGTACACTGTAGCTGCACATTTACTAATGGAGCAAACATATGTGTAGTCGTGCTTAAACTTCTTTGAAAGTGAGACGGGGAGTCGCAGTAAAGCCACAAATCCTCAAACCCACACAAATGGACCAAAGCAGCACTTAAGCTGTTTGGTCTGACGCAAATAAACCCTTTTTATGACTGCCGGTGACTTTTCCGTGTTTGTTCCACGAACATGCGTGCTCTGCTTTGACGCCTGCCTGCCTCCTCTGTCTTTTTTTTTTTTTCCCACCACACAGTCCTGCTGTACGTGCGCAAGGAAACAGAGGAGGTGTTTGATGCCCTCATGCTGAAGAATCCCACGCTGACAGGCCTGGTGGAAGCTGTAAGTTGTCCTCAGTTCACTGCGTCGGGATTCGCGCTCCTGTTTCACATTAGCGATTACAGAAACTTGAGGCTCAGCTCTTTCTGTGTCTGAGCAACTGTGGGCTGCTAAACAAGCTGTGACAGGCGTAATGCAGGGGAGTAGATCGGGTGTGGTTTTAGGACAGAACTGGGGGGACGATAAATTCAAGAGATGGATGATAGGGTGCGAATGGAGTTGTGGAAAAGAGGAACGGGAGGAAGGCGGGGTGGGTTGTCTCAGAGGCAACAATGCTTCATCTGGGGTCGTCGAGTGCAAAAAGAATTGAGTGAAAGGGTCTGGTGGGGTGGTTACTGAGAACAGTGAGGTTGATGGGATATTCTAGGTGAACCAGGTCTCTTTCAAAGATTATTTTGTTGTTTGTTTAACGCTGCTTTGTCGTTTTCCAGATTGCAGACAAGTACGAGCTGCCTCTGGATAAGGTTGGAAAGGTGTACAAGAAGTGCAAGAAAGGGTGAGGAGTCATTAACATCCCAGTGCTGCTTCTGAAACCAAATATGACACAAACGAATGAATAAATCTAAAATATAGCAGCAGCTTGAGGTATTTGGGGGGTTTTCCTCAACTGTCTTACTTCCAATTTGCAGATTAAACTTTAACTAAATGTAATTTCCCTTCGAAATGCAAATTAGAAGTGAAGTCAATCAAGTCATGTGGGTTTTCCCAGATTCATATCTGGCTCCTCCAGCTTGCAGGGAGGTCAAACACAATCTCATCACCATGGGTTCACCTCACACAGGAGGTAATGCAATTTTTTGAGTTAATTGTCCAATCAGCAATTACAAATAGCTGCTGTGAGGCACATAAGCCAATCATGAGCCGTAATGAACGGACCCACACAGGTTTGATTGGCGTCACTTGTGATCTGACAAATTGAAGGTAAATTGTCCACTGATTGCATTTGCATAATGGCAGAAAGCGTCGGTGCTAAGCTAAGCTAACTAGCTGCTCTGTTGAGTGACTTCGGTTTGGATGTGAAAGATGAAACGTTTACTCTACATTAATTACTTAAAGTCTTGATTGGTTCTACACTCTGTACAACCTTAAAATCAGTTTGATGCTTTGGTGAAGCCAACCAGACTTTAACGCTCCATTTCTGTGCCAACAGTATTCTAGTCCACATGGACGACAACATCATCAAGCACTACTCCAACGAAGACACCTTCCAGATCAGCATGGAGGAGCTGGGCGGCATGTACAAACTCACCCTCACTGAAATCTGATTCAGGAAGCAGAGGTGTCCTGGAACATCCCGATCGCAGGACAAACGGAGCCGTCAGGTTTACACTTCTGGCTGTGCAGTGATTATGGACTCGATCTGAAAATCAAATCACGTCGTCTGTGTGCTGTATTAAGTGTCAGTTTAAAAGCCATAGCTCTTAGTAGGCACCGATGTCGGTTAGAGATGTAAGTTATACATTTTTGATTCATTTTTAAAGCTTTTATTGTGCATAAAGAATTACCAACTGTTTGATTGTTATGACACTTTTGTATTTGGTGAGAATACGAGCTGCACCTCGGGTGTCGGCGCCTACTTTTGTAAAAAAAAAAAAAAAAACCTTTGTGCAGGTTTGCAGAGCAGTTGTAGTGCTGCTATACCTCATGCTATGCAAGCAGCACGGCTTATGCATTCATATGTTTGAATTTTATCAAGAGAAGCAGATCTTATTTCCCTTCCCGAAGCCATAGCACTGATGATTGCAATCTGCAAAGTTCGGTATTTAGCGCAGAAAAAGAAAAAGATGACGGCAAATTGTTACCGGAGCCCCAGAGGTTCAGCGTATTAAGACTAAACAACACGACAGTATTTAGTGTGTGAAACCTTCTTCGATCATCACGTGAGTAGGGTAGAATACTGCAGATGTTTGTGTTTTCCTAGCATAGAATCCATTTTTTGTGAATGACGTGGCTTAAAAGACTCAGATCAACTCAAACGACGGCCTCTTTGTGAGTATTACAGAAATCTATCCATGACATTGATAAAACACAGCTACCCTTCCCCTGTAGGTTAGTTTTCTGAATGTTGGTGAAACAGGTCAATGAATATCTAGAACAGTCTGTTCAGGCTGTGCTGGAAGTGCAATATGATGTTTAGGTTCGGACGCGTTCAGAAAACTACTTCCCTCTGTTGCCATAACGACAGTATAGAATGCGTGTTAATTGATTTTTTTTTTTTAATGGAAATATCCTTGTACATATTAACTGGAAAAAAAGGATCTTTTGTATCTCAGTACTTATTGTGTATATATTTATTAAGAGAACGGATGTGGGCCACTCTTTTTTTTTTTTGTTTATTTTTTAACCATATATAACCAAATTTCTATTAATCCTATTAATATAATGCTGTTTTCCTTTTTATATGAAGTTACTCCAACATTACATGTCAAGGGACAGAAAGTTCACGTGTTTTTAATAATTTGTTGTTTTTGTAAAGGATTTGACGCACAAAGTGCCCAATAAAAGCTCTCCGGTAGCTACTGCTTTGGTCGCCTCAGACTCTCTCTTCTTTATGCTCTGTCACACCTTTACATCCGTTTTATTCCTTCACATTCACCGTCATGTTTCGATAGATTTGTAAACAGCGCACATGCAAAGGTTTAATTAAATGATAGCAGGTCCGTTGGTGTTGAGGTGTGGCAGAGATTAACTGTGTCTGTCCACAGGAACAGATGTCTGGGCATCAGCTCCGACCCTGCACACAGGAAACGGGCCTGACAGGACAGCCTGGTGCCGAGAAGCCGCTCTGTCGGAAACCTGGCCGCACATTCCAACACGCATCCCTCCGTTATACTGGGTTCAGAAATGTGGTGGCATTAATGCCCTAATCTGATTACTTGTCATAACCTTGAAGAATCCTTTAACCTCTCATTTAGCACCAACATTTAATAATTAAAACTCGTGACATTCCCTCCATCCTCAGCCAAAATTTGGGTTTAGTGCCACTTAATGCTAACACACGTAGCTAACTGGTGAACATCACCACTGTCTCACAGAGCTGCTAGCCGGGCTGTAGTCGGTTTGTTTTCTAGGATTGGGTTGTAAAAACAAAAATAATAATTAAAGCCGCAAGCGGCGATGGACGGGTCCTCG